TCATAAACAAGTAGAAATCCCAATTGGTATTTTTTGACTAGTTTTTTGAATTTTTAAATTCCGTTCAGAAATTTTGGCTAAAAGGTGAACATAATTGTTTGCAATTTTTGCTAATTTACTTTCTGTAGGAGAACGAGTTTTTGTGAATGAAAATTTTGGCAATTTTCTGCTAGTTTATTTTCTATGGAAGAACTCGCTTTCGTAGATAAGTGACTAGATAGACAGGATCTGAATCAGAGGTTCCGGATTCAATCCTGCTTCGAGCAACCTGTTGTCGAGCAGTAGTGACAAAGATTTTCACTTGGAAATATATGTAGCAATATGTTTTCAAGTAAAAACAGCTCTAATCTGGCATTGCTGCATCAATAAAATATCAGCCATTTTACAGAAATTGTAATAATAATTTATCATACCGGAGATATCAGAGATGGAACAGCTGTTGGATTCCATCTTGTTGGAACCAAAATAGATGGCAACATAAGTCCAAAAATGATTTTGAGCCATGACTCTTCTCGCGCAGGGTTTCTTAAACTTTTGTCTTTCAAACCCCATTTATGATTGCAAGTTTCTTGGCGACTCCATAAATATAAAGAAAATTAATTATTATTTTTGGATATATTATTTATTTGGTAACAATATTAGAGTTTGTTGTAAAACCGAGGAAATGAGAGTAACAACAAGATAAGTTCATTGACAAAATAATGAATTACAGTCTACTGGTAAATGAATCTACAACCATAAATTTATTTATTTATAATTCTATATATTGTAGATATTGCATTATACTAAATTACATCTTGTAACTAAATAACAAAGTATACAACTAATTGTAAACGTTAATTAAACAAATAACTAACTAAATAAATATATCATTTACTGTCCATGTGAGTCATTTCAAATCATTTATCTGCAGACGTTTAAACATTGTCTGATGTGCTAGATTATACCAATGACATGTCATTTCTAGTCAGTGAACTAATGGAAGAAGAGAACTGATTTTGATATACGAGCTAGCTCGCGAACGCAGCGTTGATTGCAGATGCGCTATCAATCTTTATCAGCCCCGTTCGAAACCCAAACCCTCTCGTCAGGACTGATTTCGGGTCATTCATCATGCCACCTATCAGAAATGTTCTTTAGACAAGCGACGAAGGAGAAAGGAAATTTAATTGCCAATTTCTTACTTATATTTTTTAAATTTATAAACGTGAATTAATGGGCGACAGCTGTAGTAAGATCAAGACACGTCTTATTGCAAAAGATGACAGAAAAGCGCTAAATAAATTCTTTGATTTCACACACTTCCAGAAGAGCTACAAATGTTCCAATTCTCGTCGTTAAGTATTCCAAATAAAACTCTAATCTACTCAAGAAGTTATTAAAAACTGGTTACATTTAATCATTAATTAGTAAATTCATTACTAACGTCTCTTCAATAGATTAATTTATTATAATTTTTAAGTATTATATTTTTAGAACTAATTGCCAATGTGTGCTAATGAATTGGCGTTTTTTTAACAATACGGGCTTGTTGTCATCTTTAATCTTCTAACACAATATAGCCCAATTCATCTTAACTATTTAGTCTACACTTATTTATATTCCCGTTTCTTACATCATCAATAATTTGGAAAAAAATATTTCTATATAAAAATTAATTAATCAATATAAATTATGGTAGTATATCCTTATATCAGAAATTGTTATGTTTTTTAAAGAAATTATAAGAATAGGCAAAATATTTAATTGTCAATTGCATACATACTTTTTAAGATTTCCAAAAGTATTTTACGATAATACTTTTATAATAACAATACAAGATAAGATGATTTAAAAAAAATGGCTTAAATGTGTAATATATTTTTATACAAATATATATTTATTTAATTTATATTAGGTTTAAATACAATTGATAACATTCATATCAAAATAGCAATTACTATTTATAGCAAAATTTATAGTTTTAATTTGGTTTTGTCTCGGCTGAACCAAACCCAAAGATGCATATTTATTTAAAGTACACAATATAGCTCAATTATTTATTAATTATTTTATTCCAATCAAGCAATTGCCATCAAAATCACACAAAATAGTTGTTGATTTTTTTGGGGTTAATGCATTTGTTATAGTATGCTTTTATTATTTAATCAGTAATAATTTAGTAGAACACAAAATGTAACGGTTTGAAGTTGCATAAATCAATGAAATAAAAGTTATTTTTAATATAATACCTTTTATAAAACTAATTACTATAATATAATATATGGTTGCATCTTAAAAAACTAAACTTAAATTTCTGAATGACCATAGTTTTTTTTTAAATACTTGTTCATGTAAAGAAGTTTTTAGAATGTTCTCTATACTGGATTGCATTAGTATTTCTCTATTATCAGTACTTCTAATATTTCTATTAAGTGTACTTAATATGTAACAAATAGGAGTGTTTATTTTTTTAATATTTAGATTGATTTATATAATATGATTTATATGAAGCATCAGATTTTTAATATGTCAATAATATAGATTTCTTAACTTCATATGTCAAATTTACTTGATGGAACTAAAAACTTGGTAACTCCTTGTGTCTGCAACCTTGTATCTTCCCATTTATGTTTAACAAATATGAATTTACATACTTTATAATATCTTGTCCACATTTTCTTATATCTTGAACTAATTTTATCATGATCTGAAGATTTGGCACAATTTCTTCATAAACTTCGGCAGCAAATTGATCTCCATCTTCTAGAAACTAAAATAACATAGATATTATTCATTTATGTAATAAGAACAAGGCTATATGAAAATACTTACATTATTTGCACAATCTTGTTCGTGGTTTTCACTATTGCTCTGTTCTTTAATACATGCTTCTAATTCTGCAATTATAATATTTATATCGACTTTTTTTCTTAGTATCAAATCGTGAATCAGATTCAGTTTGTCATTTGCCAGTTGATGTTTATGTTTGGTACATTGACGAATATTGTTTATTGAGTGTAATTCAAAAAAATGCGCAAAATTTCTTTCATTTTGCAGGCAATGTATAATGGAAACTTTTTCACCATTTTTTCTCATTTCAAAACTTAAACGATGTCGTACCTATAAGTTGTAATATAAGTTAAATATAGTTCATATAAGCTAAATATAGTTATTTTATTTAAAAACAAAAATATTTTTGTATATTTTACTAACCTTATTCATTATCCATTCTATAGCTTTTTCATTCTTGATTAGTGTGCTTGCATGTGAATATTTTAAATTACTCAAAGTTTTCTCTAAAATTGCTACACAATTTTCAATTATTTTATAAATTTTTTGTACCATCGAATTCATCATTACATTGTATGATTTAATAAATTCTACATTTGTGTTATCAATATTTTCTTGTATTCTGTTATTTACACCTCCATTTAATATATAATAATTTGAACTATTCAATTGAATTGACATACTCTAGAACAAAATTAATATTCTATAATTTCTACTAAAAATAAGCAAACTTTAATATTTTAATACATACCTCTTGCACCAATAATAATAGAACTATACGAAATATCGTCATCATTTTTTTTTTTACTAAAAATATGTATTCAAATCAAAGATAGTTTAATTCTATTAGCACATAGTGAAATTTATAACTATTTATTAAAACAGAATTAGAAAAGTACTAAATATTTATGATGAAGTAAGTAATACAACATTTAACACCAATTGAAATATTCATAATGAAACAGCTTTTTCCTAGATATTTTTTCCATTTGATCAAATATTTACCTAGCAGTCTTTTTACTTGTACATTTCATAAACTTATGTGAGATATCATATAAATTTTATGCCAGGTTAAGTAAATATTAAATCAACAATGATAATAATTGTTATATCACTATATAAAAGAAATTAATTATGCTTGTTAAATTATATTGTCAATTGAATTATATATAAAATACATTCATATCAAGTTATATTTTGACAATTTTTAATAGTTTGGCGCAAATGGGATAATTGTGTTTTTGCTCTTTGAAGAGCAGGATTCGAACACTTTTCATATTCTACGTATAAAATATTAAGACGACTTGTTACATTTGTAAGTTCCAATCCCAAATTTTTTGCAGATGAAGCTGCTTTTGCAGTAAACTAAAAATTATCAAAAAATTAATAACAAAAGAAAATTTCTATATGATTCTATAATTTTTTATAAGGTTTGACTTACTGCTTCTATACATACTCGGGCATCTTCTTTATATTCTGGCGATTTTTCTAAACATCTATTTAGCTCATTACTAATAATTCGAGCTTGTTCCCTACCTTCTTTAATAAATTTCTGAAAACTATGCTGCATCTGTTCTATTTCATATTGATTATATTCCTTACATTTTTTAAGTTCCAAGCGCAAATTCTCTAGTGATTGAAGAATTTTTTTGTTGTTTTCTTCAATACATCTTCTAGTAGCTTCGTTATGATTTTTACCTTCAAGATCTTTTTGCACTTCTGTTCTTATCTAAAAAATTTGTTTTAGATGAAATATAATAAATCGATTCTGTATTTAGTTGTGTTTTATTAATAAGATTTTTACAAAAAACTATTTACCCTTTCTCTTTCGTCATTAAACCAATTTTCCATGTCCAAAATCAGTTTCTCACAATTCTGTTTAAATTGTCTAAAAGCTGCATCACCGATCCCCAATGCATTCTCGATAGCATCAATATAGTTGTCAGATGCTTCTGCCAAAAGCTTATCGTTATTATTACCCATCGAATATATTTATTAAAATTTCTGGAATATCAATATTCAATTTTTAAAAACAATCTTTTGTATTACACGCTGATTTTATTTAAAATGTATCTATTATAATACATTAATTGACAAGTCAAATACAATTCGTTTTTGTTTTATGCGTTGATCTAAAAACAAAAACGTTCAAATGTTTTTTTACATAAATATGAAAAATACAAAAACTATTTACATACAAATTATTATTTTTCAATTCTTAATACTGTTTATCCTAAGGAAAACGAAAATTGTGGTGGTGCAAATTGTGCGATTCCATCAGCAACCATATTTCCTGTTCCACGAGCTAAATTTGCCATTCCGTTTACAAATCCACCGCCCAAACCACTTAAAGTTGCAAGTCCATTACCAAAAAGATTGCTTGATCCAGCTGACATACCACCGCCCAAGTATTTACCTGTTTGAGCTTGTGATTCAGATGATAATCCAGTACCAACGGTATTAGTTGGTAAATAATTGGCACCATTTTGCAAACCAAGATTTATTCCATTGGATACTTGATTACTAATATCATTTGTTGGATAAGGAATTTGATTTGCAGTATTGTTTACAAATTCATTTGTGTTTCCTGCAGGTAATTGATTGGTTATGCTACTTTGGCCAGCGTTCGGTAATTGGTTAGCTGCATTAGAAAATTGATCAACTGCTCCATTAGCCAAGTTTAAGCCATTTGAAAATCCATTGGTAAACTGATTGCTATTTAACTGACTTGCGCCGGATAAGCCATTTGCAAATTGGTCAGCTACTCCATTAGCAATGTTCATTCCAGCAGAAAGTCCGTTTTGGAACTGGTTAGCTATTCCTGATCCTATTTGACTTGCACTTGATAGGCCATTTGCAAATTGATCAGCTAAACCGCTGCCAAATCCGATGCCACTGGCTAATCCGTTTTGAATTTGTGTATTAGCTCCGTTTGCTAAATCATTAGCACCACTGCTTGCACCTCCATTTAATGGGCCAAATTGATCTGCTAAGTCATTTCCAGAATTGATGCCATTCGGTAAATCATTAGATACCTGGTTAGCTGCATCACTTCCGTAACTTGAGTCACTTGGCGCCCCATTACCGAACTGACTAGCTATTCCTCCACCAATACCACTTGATAGCCCATTGGCATATTGATTTGATTTAGCAATTCCGTTGGCAAGTTGATTGGCCAAACTTCCAGATCCTACTCCTAGCGTTAAACCATCCTCAGTTTGACCAGCAACACCGCTTCCTGATACTCCACTACCTGAACCACCTGATAATCCACCTCCTGCACCGCCTGATAAACCACTTCCTAAACCGCCTGATGAACCACTTCCTGCACCGCCTGATAAACCACTTCCTAAACCGCCTGATAGACCACTTCCTAAATCGCCTGATATTCCACTTCCTAAACCGCCAGATAAACCACTTCCTAGACCGCCTGATATTCCACCGGCGATAGCATTTCCAATTCCAGCTCCAATATCTCCGCCTAAACCGCCACCAATGAATCCGTTGGCAGTATTCACCGCATTATCCACCATATTTCCCCATCCGTTGGGAATAGCGCCCATCTACATAATCACAATAAATAATAATTTTATATCTAATTGCATTAAAAAATAATTTTTTCTTACCATTTTACCGTATTCGATTTTCATATTTCCAGCATGTTCGCCTACATCACGAACCATGCCACCGGTTCCACTGAAACCAGCGCTCGATATTGAATTGCCTATTGAACTGCTCACACCTAAAATAATGCAGTTTGAGATTAAAAAAAAATAATAAAAAATATATAATAAAATATTTCCACCTTTGATTATGTTTCCGGGTATAGCACCACTTGCTTCAAATCCTTGCTGGACAGCATTTGCACCAGCACGATTTACACCAGCTATCGCATCAAGAATCAATGGTGATCCAGAAGCATTCTAATTGGAATAATAAAATTATTGTAAATATAAACTAAATATATTTATTTATTCAAGTTTTCAATACTTGTATCAATGCAATAGTGGCAATTGCCACTACGATTTTGAAGAAAGTCATTTCAGGTTGACCTCGGTAGGCTGCCAAGAAACTTACTATCGATAAAATGCCCCAAATTAATGTTTTATACTCAAGATGCGCATGATCTATTTACGCAAAAGAGTTTAAATATGTAGCCAGTTGGCTTAAATAAATTATGTGTTATTTAAATCAATAAAATTTATAATGGATAATAATTTGATGCTTTATCACTAAATAAATACCTAAATCATCAATGTCAATGTCGATAAGAAATTACGCTAATTAAAATCGCATGTTTGCTCTTTCAAAGGTGTGTAAATATAAAAAGAACTGACTTTTATCTTGTAACGTAAGGAAATGCAAATATATGTATTGCATATTTAGTTTCAATTACATTATAATATTAAAATGTTATAACGAAATTATTATATTTACACTGGTAAGCACACATATGTCTGCTTTATATATCGTTATTAATTTTTCTCTATGGATTATTTAGTGCCCATCGAATTTTGATCTTTAATTAGATTTTTAATGGGTCATTTATTTAATCATTTTATGTTTTTTTATGTAACTTGTTTCTTAACTTCGTATTTTGCACGAAATCGACAAAACTCATTTATTCGGATATTTCTATTTTTTTTTATTTCAAATTTCTCGCTTGATGTTATTAACTCTTTGGGGACGGCTGTCCACCTCAGTGGACAAACTCTGTGAGACACAGACTATTTTATAAACAATGACTCAGTTTGCATCGAAAAGTTGATTAAATTACATATAGCAGTGATAAACAGTGTTGTATTTTGATAACAATTTTAAGTTATTTTAGTAGTATTTTTAACTTCCCGAAGGAGAAGTTTATGTTTTCATCAAAAAATCCGAATCGCTAAATTTATGTTTTCTCGACGTTTCAAGCCATTCTGAATCGAATGAGACCAAATTTGGAAAAAGTATGTGTGTGTGTGTGTGTGTGTGTGTGTGTGAACAGATTTTTTGCCGTAAATCGACGTTTTCTCCAAAACGGTTGGACCGATTTCAAAAATTTAAAAGCCATTTGATGTATCTCGATGAGGACTATCATCTCTGAGTTTTGTGCGGCGATCGGCCGGCCGTAAATTGCAGAAAAGTGAAAAAATTTTCGTCCACGTTTTAGCCCGCAATTCTGAATCGATTCTGAAAATTCAAAAACCGTTCGATAGATATTGGTTGGGAATCGTGCTGATTAGTTTTTGGTAAAGATCTGCCATGCCGTTTTCTTGTAATAAAGTTTTTAAAAAAAAAAATTTGACGATTTTTATGATTATTTTTTTGACGAAAGATACCATAGTTTTCTAGGTCATACTAAAATATTACGGCCCTACGACAACTGGTTCAGCTTTAAAAATTCGTCAAAGTTTGCAAAAATCAGTATGGTCTTTTTGGCATTTGTCAAATTTAGACTTTTGATCGACGTTTTCTCAAAAACGCCTGAACCGATTTTGGAAATTTAAAAACCATTTGATGTATTTCGGTGAGGACCATCGTTTGTCAGTTTTGTGCAACGATCTGCCAAGCCGTTTCTTCGTAATTTGAAAAACAGTGTTGAACTTTTCGTCCACATTTAAGCTCATCCTACCGAACCGATTTTAAAAAATCAAAAACTGTTCGAAAGATATTAGTTGGGAATGATGCTGATTAATTTTAGGTGAAAATCTACCGAGCCGTTTTCTTGTAATTAACTGTTGAAAAAAAGTGTTAAATTTTCGTCCACATTTAAGCTCATCCTACCGAACCGATTTTGAAAAATCAAAAACTGTTCGAAAGATATCATTTGGGAATGATGCTGATTAATTTTAGGTGAAAATCTACCGAGCCGTTTTCTTGTAATTAAATGCTGAAAAAAAGTGTTAAATTTTCGTCCACATTTAAGCTCATCCTACCGAACCGATTTTGAAAAATCAAAAAGTGTTCGAAAGATATTAGTTGGGAATGATACTGATTAATTTTAGGTGAAAATCTACCGAGCCGTTTCATTGTAATTAACTGTTAAAAAAAAATTTAAGCCGTTTTTTATGGAACTTTTTTTGGCGATATACATCATGGTCTTATAGAACTTACTGTAATATTACGGCCTTACAATAAGTAGTTTAATTTTGAAAATTCGTCAAACTTTGCTAAAATTATTATCGTTTTTTTTTAAAGTAGGATTGATGAAGTATATTATTTACACATTTTTTTGATCAAGTCGATTATTTACACATATCGGGAAGTTCATGTAATTTGCCTCAAGGCTAAATACCAAACCAACTAGTTCGTTTTTTTCTTAGCTATATAGTATTTTTTTAATATATAAAACGACCGAACGCTTTTAAATATGGCAAAACGACTGGTAAATTTTGTGAATTAAGCAGTAGTAAGGATGAGTTTGAAATAGACATTCATAGACACAAATTTGACGTCATTACTATTTGCACCGAAGATAGTGATGAATGTGATGATGATATTACCCAACCAACAAAAAGAAGAAGTTTGATAAATTAAATGAAGAGTGGAAAGACATGAGCGATTGTGCCGATTCTCCTTCAATAATCGATACATCAACAAACACCCCGACTACAAATACCAAGCAACATAAGACATCCAATAGATTATTTTACTTTATATTTTACAAATAAATTATTAGACAATATAATAGAAAAAACAAACCATTATGGCAGCACAAAAATGAACAAATATACTGACTAATCAGTGGCATATCTAAATGCGAGAGAAAGAAAAGATTGTTTTGTCTGTTCTGACAAAAAAGCAAAAGGGGGAAGGCGGCGAACACATTTTATTGTGAAACATGTCCAAATCAACCAGCTATGCGTTTTGAACGTCACCATTCTTTATAAAATGATCAAAAATAAATTAATATTATAAATGTATGTCCTTCAATGACCACAAATTTTTATCAAACAAATTGCATAACATACACAATGAAATGAAGTTTACAGCCGGTACAGTAGATTGTTTTGAAATCGGTGCCGTCCCGTAAGTGAATAATAATAATAGCAAAAACTCCATAATAATTTTAATGTATTTGATGACCAAATATGCAGTTTTACTTATTTATTTTTAGGGCGTAAAACACAAATAAGTGCACCGTAATAACCAAATAAGGAAATATTCTACCTATTCTATCTACTGATTTTCTTTATCATAGTAGTGTAATTTTAAAATCGATCACAATCTAATAAAATGTTAGACTACTTATTTTTAAATTGAATTGAACGAATTGCATGCAATTGTAGGACTATTAGTGTTACGGCCAGGTGTACTAGCTCTGGTTTTTTCAATTTTTCAATGTGTTCCACAAAATTGATTTGAACAATATTTTCAGTACTAAAAGAAAAAACAACTAGCTGTAAGTGGAATTCTGTCTTGAGGCATTTATGGCATCGTGCCTTAAGGCAAATTGCTGGAACTTCCCGTACCGAAATGTTCGAGGAATACTGAATGTTTTCAAATAGATTATTATAAATATTGTAACATTGTCTAATATTTATGAGAATTATATAAACTGAATTGCAGAGTTGAAAATATTTGTAAAGTATATTAGAACTATAGCCAGAATTAAAAATAAAATCTGAAATATTTTTGATAAAACTAAAAAAAAAAAAAAAAAAAAAAAAAAAAAAAATTGAACAAAATTTTTTTTTCCAAAATCAATTATTTTGTTAAGACAAGCAGAAAGTTCTTTGAATCATTTAAATCGGACGCTTAGTTCTCTCAAAAACTGCCATTTTTTACATATTTAGCTCCATATCTTCGAAATGACTGGGCCTGCCTTTGCCAAAAACTAATAAGCACTTCTCCCAATCATTACTAATTGAATGCTTTTTAGATCATTCAAATCAGATACTCCGTTCTCTCAAAAATTCGATTTCTATTTTCTGCACTCTTTGCTCCGTATCTCCGAAACGGCTGGACCTGCCTTTGCCAAAAACTAATCAGCTCTTTTCCCTATCAATAGGAATCGAATGTTTTTTGAACCATTCAAATCGGTTGATCCGTGCGCCCTAAAACGTGACTGGAAATTTGTATCCATACATACATACACACACACACACACACACACACACACACACACACACACACACATCCATTTTTTCTGAGGTATGCCAAAACGTTCAAAAACCTTCAAAACGTCGAGAAATGTTAAAATTTTCAATTCCGATTTTCGGCCCATTACAATAACTTACCCTACGGGAAGTTAATAAGCTTTCGATTAACGCTAATTAGAAGGTGGTCCAACTGAACGCACTACCGGAAAACATCAATTGAAAAATTATTTTATCTTTTTCAGCTAATAATAATTAATTATTTGGCATTGATTGTTCTACATAATGTGGCCTAAGCCAATATGCATCTTTTATGGTTACGCCAAAAAGTGAGTTTGAAAAAAGGGGCCACTTTCACATATTTTCAATGATATCTCGGCCTTCAAAAAGACCTTTAAAATGGCATATAAATTATTTTAATACCTGGGTGGGGCCTGGATTCTGTATGCCAAAGCGCCCATACCCTTTGCATTGCATAGAATAGAAAGATATCGCGTAGTATATAATGTAATGTAGTAAGGGCTAAATGCTCAAAGTTTATTAATTGAAAATAAAATTATCATCCATGAATTTTTAATACCTACTAAAAGTCAATACTGGTACAAATTATCAATGCCACTCAAAATATTGCATACAGAAAATTTATAAATTTCGTCAATGTGATATAGTTAAATTAAAACTAATTAAAACTGTGGTTATGATTTACAAAATTATTTTATTTAATTTATTCATAACAGTATCTAGAAATATACACAACATTATTTTACTTATTGAGCTTGGAAACGACAAATTTATTTTATACAGTTTAAGCGATTGGAGCTGCGGGTTTTGCTTGTTGAGTAGCTGTTGGTTGTTGCACATGGGGTTGTTGCACTTGGGGTTGTTGTACTTGGGTTTGCTGCACTTGTGGTTGTTGCACTTGAGGTTGTTGCACTTGTGGTTGTTGCACTTGTGGTTGTTGCACTTGAGGCAATTGCTGTGGCAACTGTTGTGGCTGTTGTTGCTGTGGTAATTGTTGAGGTAATTGTTGTGGTACTTGTTGGGGATATTGGGGCATTTGTGGCACTTGTTGAGGGTATTGGGGCATTTGTGGTACTTGTTGAGGGTATTGGGGCATTTGTGGCAATTGTTGAGGGTATTGGGGCATTTGAGGTAATTGTTGGGGATATTGGGGCATTTGTGGCAATTGTTGTTGAACTTGAGTCCATGGCTGTTGTACTTGTTGTTGCTGTGGTTGTTGTTGTTGTTGTTGTTGTTGTTGAGGGAAGAACTGACCAGCTAATCCGCCACCCAAAAAGTTACCACCTAAACCACCGCCTAAAAATCCTTCTGCAGTGTTGACTGCGTTGTCAAACATATTTCCCCAGCCGTTTGGGATGGAACTTAGCTGTAATAAAATTGATTTTTTTTCAATTAGAAGACACTATTCAATTTTCATATATTTATTGATAATACTGACCATTTTTCCGTATTCGCTGAATATGCCACCACCATGTCTTCCTACATCACTAATCATACCGCCTGTTCCGGTTAAACCAACTTTGCTGTAAGCTCCACCAATTGAACTGCTCACACCTAGATTACAAATAGAATTTACGATTTACAATGAGCATAATTGTAAAGATTCTGTTAAGTTTAAGTTTTTCCTAATAGTTTATTTATAATTATTTGGAAATATCTAAGTGTGAAGCAAATAGTGTTGATGTAGGTATAATATTATTTCAAAGTATGTATTAATATACTCTAGGATCATTTGACACTTCAAGTTTATAACTATATTATTAACTTCCCGAAGAAGAAGTTTATGTTTTATCAAAAAATCCGATTCGTTAATTTTATGATTTCTCGACGTTTCAAGCCATTCTGAATCGAATGAAACCAAATTTGGAAGAAGTATGTATGTGTGTGTGTGTGTGAACAGATTTTTTTACCGTAAATCGACGTTTTCTCAAAAATGGCTGAATCTATTTCAAAACTTTAAAAGTCGATCGATGTATCTCAATGAGGACTAGCGTTTATCAATTTTGCGCGACAATCAGCCAAGCCGTTTCTTTGTAAATAGCAGAAAAGTGAAAAAAATTCTGTCCACGTTTTAGCCCGTAGTTCTAAATCGATCTTGAAAATTCAAAAACCATTCGAAAGATATTGATTGGGAATCGTGCTGATAGGTAAAGATCGGCCGAGCCGTTTTCTTGTAATAAAGTGTTAGAAAAAAAAAATTCGACGATTTTTATTATTATTATTTTGGCGGTAGATACCATAGTCTTTTAGATCATACTAAAATACTACGGCTCTATGACAATTGGTTTAACTTTAAAAATTAGTCAAAGTTTGCAAAAATTGGTATCGTTTTTTGGCATTTGTCAAAATTAGACCTTTCTTAAAAATTTTCTTAAAAATTCCTGAACCGATTTCAGAAATATAAAAGACATCTGATGTATCTCAATGAGGACTATTGTTTGTCAGTTTTGTGCGACGATCTGCCAAGCCGTTTCGTTGTAATTTGAAAAAAAAGTGTCAAACTTTTCGTCCTTATTTCAGCTCATACTACCGAATCGATTTTAAAAAATCAAAAACTGTTCGAAAGATATTAGTTGGAAATGATACTGATAAGTTCTAGGTGAAAATCTACCGAGCCGTTTTCTTGTAATTCGTTGTTGAAAAAAAATTGAACCGATTTTAATGAAACTTTTTTTGATGATATATATCATGGTCTTATACAACTTATTGAAACATTACGACCTTACGACGAGTAGTTTAATTTTAAAAATTCGTCAAAGTTTAAGAAAATTAGTAGTTTTTTTGACGTTTGTTAAAATTAAAATTGGACGATTTTACTTGGTATAACGATAGAGTACTTGGTTTTAATAAACATATCAAGCCATCAAAGTCCAATGGAAACTGGTTCAATTATAACAATTGTTGATTTCTGAAAATTTACTTTTAGAATATACTCCTTGTCAAAGTGTTCACTCGTTTTCAATTATGTGTAATAAATCCATTCGGAATACTTTTATACACTCATAAATTAATTTAGTTTTTATTGATTAAGTCAATTAATTATACATATCGGGAAGTTCATGTAACTTGCCCCAAGGCAAAATACCAAACCAACTAGTTAAATTTTCAATTTGAAAGATATTGTAAATTATATTATAAAAGCAAGATAGACTAAAGTGAAATAAAAATATTAAATTTTATTACCATCAATCAAGTTTCCTGGAATAGTTCCGGTTACTTCCAATCCAGTGCCAATAGCATCAGTGTTAGCACGGTTGACACCGGCAGCGGCAGGAAGAATGACCAAAGGTGATCCATTGGAAGTCTAAATTATTTTTTAAAAAATTAATTCAAAACTAATATTTCTAATATAAAATACGATGGCTAAAATATTACCTGAATGAGTGCGATGGTAGCCAAAGCCGCGAGGAGTGATTTGAAGAATGCCATTTTGTCTTTGCTTAGGACCTAATCCGTCTGCTACCATTTGAGTCTAAATTTTCTTCTTTATACTAAATATTCACATGACTTTTGTCAAAACATTTCCAATGTCAGTTATCCAATCATTAAAATATAAATATTGTCGCACAGATCATTCTGGAAAAATATTATTCTGTCTTATCTTTATTTACATTTTCTCCGTCACGTTGAAAAATTAGTTGATCATTCTATTTTTATATAATCGAAATTCAGAAACAGTGTTAATTCATATTTATTTTAAATTTAGCAGTTGCACAAATAATAAATTAATTAATTTGATTCTATAATTATATTCTAATGCGCATTTTTAAATTAATAAGATTGTAAGGCCGTAACATTGAAATATCTTGAATTATAAAAAGTTTAGTATCATTATAGTAATATAGGTGGCATTGTCATACATAGACGACATTCTTAGTATTGACTTTTTCTTAAAAAATTGTTAATCTGATTTGAGTTACTTATAATTTTAATTTGTTTCTGTAATTATTAGTATTTTTGAAGTGTAATTGTATATTTTTAAATATTTTCATTGATAATGATTGTAAAACCTTTAAACATGTTGTGTAAAAAAACCTTACAGCACAACAGTGTTATACCTACGGAAAATGCCAATATGTAGTGATCATATATTACCCAGTAAAAATAAATTCAATAAAAGACAAAATCATATTTTTTGTGAAAAAATTTAAACTGTTTCATTGTAATGTTATTATTTTTATAAGTTAATATTATTATAATTCGATATTACTTAGAAAAACATTGGTCTTTAAAATCTATGCAAAAGTTATTCATATCATGTAAATTTTTATAAGTATTATTAAATTTAATAATTATTGATAAAATATTAATCATATCAAGAAAATATATAAGGATTTTTATTAAAATTCAAATTCAACATGTTTTGCATAATTACAATTTCTATAAAAACATTTTATTTAACCTACTAAAATATGCTTTGCCTATGTAACAACATTTTAGAAAATTGGTTTTTACTGTTCTAATTATCTTACTAATATTTATATTTACCATTGAAAGTCGACTGAAATTTTACTACTTTATATGTCAAATTAAAAGTCAAATAAAATTGACATTATTAAATTTTCATTCCCGTACTTTCATATCAAATGAAATATTTTTAAGCATGCCTTTGAAATACATTATATAAAAAATTTATATATAATTACTATATGGAATGTAGTGCATATCTTAAATAAGATATCATCCTAGGATCCTAAATAATAATCAATATTTTAATTTGAAAAAATAAATTTTATCGCTAATCTCGTAGACAAAGATACAATAGTATATAATATTAATTAAATTTATATTTATAAATATGTATTTATAACTATTTGATGGAAATTTACTAATAGGCCAATTAGGCGTGCCATTTGCATATAATAAAAATTCGACATTTTTATAATAATTACTTTTTATTGCATCATGTAAAAATTAAATAAACCACCATAATAATTGCTACCAATATATTTTTTTATCTATTTCTCAATCAATCAAACAAATCAATTTTTATGATTCAAAATTATTTTATATATAATTACAACCAAAAATTATAAACACAATTAAACTATTCAGTAGTAATAAACAGTTTATTTATATACGGTTATATTTAATTTGGAAAATTTAAAATATAAAATAAATCTCAGATTCATTATAAATAAATATTTTCATATTGCTATAATCAGAAATTTAGTTGCCGCTTAAAAACTTTTAAAGAAACCATTCACTGCATTTGCTGCATCACCAAAAAAATTGTTGCTTATTGGCTCTTCCTGAAATAGTACAAGAAAATTAATATATGCACTACTTTGAATTTATATCGATATTATTTGACAATTACTTTTTGTTCCTGATTGCTAACTGGTTCTGATACTTCAGCTACGGCTTCCGAATTTTCCACATTTTCTGGTACCACAACTGATGTTTCAGGTTCAACTTCATTTTTTGCTATACCTATTATCACGTAACATTTTACATAGTTATGTCATAAAAATACACTGTTACAAAACTGTATCAATTTTATATTTTATAACCTCTTTCCAATTCATCAATTAGAGATCCAGATACTTCTAATTCAGCTTTTGGCACTTGATCATCAGCAACAAGGCTAGTATGGAAAACCAAAGGAGATCCCAAAGTAATCTAAAATAAATGATTACTTTTTTACTTTATTTTTGTAACACTTTATTTTATATATGGACCATAATTACACATAATGTACGAAACTTATTATTTCATAAAAATAAAACATTTACCTGAATGAAGGTAATAGCGGCGAAAGCCACAAGCAATGCCTTTACGAAAGTCATGGTGCATTTATTTGGATGGTTAACAGTCTGTTCGTCTTTTTTCGTTTTTGCTGCTTATATACAATATCTTCACGTGCCATAATTCAAGTCAATTTTTAATTCCAATTGTTATCAAAATATTATTGACTCTTTTATATTCTTCTTACGTCACATGTTTACTTTTTTTATTAGCACAAGATAATAATCCTTGATGAATTCATAAATTCTAATTATAATCACTTATTGGATTATTGAAGTTTAAAAGTATATATTTTAAAGTAGAAATTTAAAAGTATCAATAAAAGTATTAAAATTTATAATTTGTTTTTTGGCATTCAATTTTTAACTATCTTAACCCAGCTTTTATTTATTTATTTATTTTTATTTATTCATAAGCAAGTCGTAATTAATAATAATAGATATTATTTTAGGCTCTTGTCAAGCTTATTCATAGTTAATATTAAAAGGATAGTAATTTTATAATAATCATAGTAGCTGCACGAATTTCGCTTCTGAAAAAAAGAGCTGAAAAAAAGCATTCGAACATTAAATACAATTAATAATCATCAATAAATAATAATTAATCATCAAGTTCATCATATTAAAGTCTATTTGACCACCAATCAAGCTCAAAATTCTTGCACAAGGTAAAAATTTTAAGATAATAAAATAGCAATAAAAAAAATAAAATTTTTTTTTGTAATATTTGCAAATATACTATAAAAAATAAGCATATTTTTACCTTATTTTTACATATAAAGATTTATGAGTTCATATTCATACATGTATATATAAATATATATATATATATATATATATATATAGCAGCAAATCACCATAAATCATATTTACTCTCCGAGTTTGAAAATTTATCACCTGTAGTATGAAAGATAGTAGTAAATGACTTCTTAGAACATAGTTGCAGATTTTTTTACTGCTGTTATCTTAAGTTAGGTCTATATACTTTTCAAATCTTTTACCTACTAATTAAGCGACAAATAAAGCAAGATATATGAAAAATTTAAAATAAAATTCAATTATTCGGAATGCACAAAAATCGTTCAAAAGTAATAATTCGCTTTTGAACTCGTCTATGTGTGTTGTCTCATACACTACTCTATACTGTACTATGTAGCAAAATATATAAAAATCTAAAATTAAATTCAAACATCCGGAATGCTAAAAAATCGTTGAAAAGTCGTAATTCAGTTTTGAGATCGCTTATGGATGTTTTCTCATATACTACTGTGTACTGTGAACAAATATGAGTTAGACATCATTTACAACATTTGAAATCTTCACCTATTCTTTTAAATTTAATTTATCCCCCTCAAAAGAATCCTTTTCTGATACAATGCAACTATGCCAACACTTTTGCCTTTTTGATTGGCTTTCATGTTTTTAATTGAGTCAAAACGATGTTCAGGCAATAGTCTTTCGAGTTTAGAGAATAGCCTGAAATGCTAAATCAGGCGAATACGACGTTTGTGGGACAATTGGTCAAATTCTTGGCGAAATCGTCAAGAAAGAACGAGTGCAGTATGGAATTGCAGTTATATATTTCTTACTCTGATGAAGCAATCAGTCACATCTGCATCTTATTTTTAAAAACATATATATATATATATATATATATATATATATATATATATATATAACGAAACATGTCCATATATATATAATTGGACATTTTGAATTTATTTGCTCCAATGGCTCAAATGCTTCCTAATTGGTAAAAAAATATCTCTAAAAGTTTTAGCTTTTAATATTAACTTTTAGATAAAGCGCAATCCAATCAAAGTTTCGTAAGGATTAAATTAAGATTAGATCTCTACTTCCATGTGGCTATTATAATATTCTAGTATCTTATCTCGCCAATACGAAATTCAAAGTACGTGTCAACACTGAAACTTCAATATCTCATCAGATTGAGGCAGGAGTTCCACAAGGCAGTATTTTGGCGCCGTTTCTATATATCTTCTTCACTAGTGATTTTTCAACTCTTCAATCATCCACAACAACTACCTTTGCTGACGACATAGCAGTTCTTTCAATGATAATATGGAGAACTCTTAGAACTATCATACCTTTATATGAACAGAATAGTAGAATCACTTATTGAAGTGATTCTCTAAATATCAATATAATATTTGATATTATATGTGTGCGAGTGAATGACATAAAACAAATAGCTCGTAGATTGGTCATGTATTCTGAGTGAGTGCTATTGAAAATAAAATTTAAAAAAATGATAACGGAGCGATGAGTGAATCAAGAGTGACAAATCATGTCATGATTTATTAAAAATTCGATGCTTTACATAACTAGTTTTTTATAATTTGTTTTGAAGAGCGTCGAAATTTCAATTAAACTCATTCATTTATTTGCTAAGTTATATTTAAAAAACATTTTTAAAATTTTTGAAATTTTTTCCATGCTAATTCCTTCTGAAACTTTGATTGAATTGCGCTCTATCTAAAAGTTAATATTAAGAGCTAAAACTTACAGAGAACTTTTTTTTATCAATTTGGAAGCATTTGAGCCCCTAGGAGCAAGGACATACGAAAATGTCCATATTAAGGACCACCCTAATATCTATATATATATATATATATATATATATATATATACATATATAATTAAATAACACGATATAAAATAAGTGCAAAAGGATAATTCTGACTTTAATAAGAAAGTGAAATAATAATAATAGGGTGAAAATATAAAATGGTAACAATTTAAATACTTTATTTTATACGTAATATATATATATATATATATATATATATATATATATATATATATATACTCGATATAGAAAAAAAATAATACGAAAATATATCAAAAAATCTAAAGAAATATTAGTATTATCATATACAAATCTAGTTTAAATTTTACATTTGAAAATCATTTATTATATTCACAACAGTCTTAAAAATAATATAATCTCATCAGAAAGAGAATATGCAAACACTTGGTTGCCTTCTAGCAACTCTGAATTAAGGAGTTACATCCCAAGTCATGGAACATATATTCGAATACTGTTTTATACTTTAAATATAAATTTTAGATTTACAATTCATATATAGTAAAATTTATTATATATAGTAAAAGTTATATAGTGCTATAATAAAAAAAATATGAATTCATTTGGCATCTCTTGTTAATGTGAACATTTCTAAGTGTTTTGAGCAATAACATCGAGAATGTATATTATATGAACGATATCATATATAGTAATAATAATTAAATATTTGAAAATGTTTAAAACGATTGTTATTAACCATTGATTGACATTCATTGATAAATGATTTTTCGAATATTCGAATCTGGTAATCTCGAATATTTAATTCTTGTACGGGAAGTTCCAGCATTTCGAATCTCTTGAAAGTTCGAGGAAACATAAAATCAGAAAAATCAGATTTTTTTGCGAGAAAAAACTTCTCCTTCGGGAAAAGACTTAGAACAAAATGCATTATTATATTACTTTTATTTATATCTCAAACAAAAATTTAGAATGTATGGCATTAATACAAAATTCTTTAGATAACATAATTCTTTATAAGAGAACTATTGATATATTTCAAATAATTTCATAATCGAGTATCAATCATCATTCAAGCTTAAACTTTTCGCGATCCAAGGTTGATCCGACCCAAGAATCCACTAAGTGCTTCCAAGGCATTATCGATGACATCATCTACCATCTTTGCGATCTGAAATATAAAAAATGTGTAAAACCTATGTCGAGTATATTATTATATTAGGCGAATTGTTTACTTACCTTATCAACCGTGGTAGTAGGTTTTACTGGTGGCTCAACTGCTGGTTGCTCGGGTTTAACTGCGGGCTGTTCTGGCTCAACTGCTGGTTGCTCGGGTTCAACTGCTGGCTGTTCTGGCTCAACTGCTGGCTGTTCTGGCTCAACTGCTGGCTGTTCTGGCTCAACTGCTGGCTGCTCGGGTTCAACTGCTGGCTGCTCGGGTTCAACTGCTGGCTGTTCTGGCTCAACTGCTGGCTGTTCTGGCTCAACTGCTGGCTGTTCTGGCTCAACTGCTGGCTGTTCTGGCTCAACTGCTGGCTGTTCTGGCTCAACTGCAGGCTGTTCTGGCTCAACTGCAGGCTGTTCTGGCTCAACTGCAGGCTGTTCTGGCTCAACTGCTGGCTGTTCTGGCTCAATTGCTGGCTGTTCTGGCTCAACTGCTGGCTGTTCTGGCTCAACTGCTGGCTGTTCTGGCTCAACTGCTGGCTGTTCTGGCTCAACTGCTGGTTGCTCGGGTTCAACTGCTGGTTGCTCGGGTTCAACTGCTGGTTGCTCGGGTTCAACTGCTGGTTGCTCGGGTTTAACTGCTGGTTGCTCGGGTTCAACTGCTGGTTGCTCGGGTTCAACTGCTGGTTGTTCGGGTTCAACTAAGGGCTGTTCTGGCTCTACTGCGGGCTGTTCTGGTTCTACCGCGGGCTGTTCTGGCTCAACTGCTGGTTTCTCGGGTTCAACTGCTGGCTGTACTGGCTCAACTGCTGGTTGTTCGGGCTCAACTGCTGGTTGCTCGGGTTCAACTGTTGGTTGTTCGGGCTCAACTGCTGGTTGTTCGGGCTCAACTGCTGGCTGTTCTGGATCAACTGCTGGTTGCTCGGGTTCAACTGCTGGTTGCTCGGGTTCAACTGCTGGTTGCTCGGGTTCAACTGCTGGTTGCTCGGGTTCAACTGCTGGTTGTTCTGGCTTAACTGCTGGCTGTTCTGGCTCAACTACTGGCTGTTCTGGCTCAACTGCTGGCTGTTCTGGCTCAACTGCTGGCTGTTCTGGCTCAACTGCTGGCTGTTCTGGCTCAACTGCTGGCTGTTCTGGCTCAACTGCTGGCTGTTCTGGCTCAACTGCTGGTTGTTCTGGCTCAACTGCTGGCTGTTCTGGCTCAACTGCTGGCTGTTCTGGCTCAACTGCAGGCTTTTCTGGCTCAACTGCTGGCTGTTCTGGCTCAACTGCTGGCTGTTCTGGCTCAACTGCTGGCTGTTCTGGCTCAACTGCTGGCTGTTCTGGCTCAACTGCTGGCTGTTCTGGCTCAACTGCTGGTTGCTCGGGTTCAACTGCTTGTTGCTCGGGTTCAACTGCTGGCTGTTCTGGCTCAACTGCTGGTTGCTCGGGTTCAACTGCTGGCTGTTCTGGCTCAACTGCCGGCTGTTCTGGCTCAACTGCCGGCTGTTCTGGCTCAACTGCGGCTGTTCTGGCTCAACTGCTGGCTGTTCTGGCTCAACTGCTGGCTGTTCTGGCTCAACTGCTGGCTGTTCTGGCTCAACTGCTGGCTGTTCTGGCTCAAACTGCTGGCTGTTCTGGCTCAACTGCTGGCTGTTCTGGCTCAACTGCTGGCTGTTCTGGCTCAACTGCTGGTTGCTCGGGTTCAACTGCTGGTTGCTCGGGTTCAACTGCTGGCTGATCTGGCTCAACTGCTGGTTGTTCGGGTTCAACTGCTGGTTGTTCGGGTTCAACAGCTGGTTGTTCGGGTTCAACTGCTGGTTGTTCGGGTTCCACTGCTGGCTGCTCGGGTTCAATTGCTGGCTGTTCTGGCTCAACTGCTGGTTGCTCGGGCTCAACTGTTGGCTGCTCGGGTTCAACTGCTGGTTGCTCGGGTTCAACTGCTGGTTGCTCGGGTTCAACTGCTGGTTGCTCGGGTTCAACTGCTGGTTGCTCGGGTTCAACGGCTGGCTGTTCTGGCTCAACGGCTGGCTGTTCTGGCTCAACGGCTGGCTGTTCTGGCTCAACGGCTGGCTGTTCTGGCTCAACGGCTGGCTGTTCTGGCTCAACGGCTGGCTGTTCTGGCTCAACTGCTGGTTGTTCTGGCTCAACGGCTGGCTGTTCTGGCTCAACTGCGGGTTGCTCGGGTCAACTGGCTGGCTGTTCTGGCTCAACTGCGGGTTGCTCGGGTTCAACTGCTGGCTGTTCTGGCTTAACAGCTGGTTGTTCGGGTTCAACGGCTGATTGCTCGGGTTCAACGGCTGGCTGTTCTGGCTCAACGGCTGGCTGTTCTGGCTCAACTGCTGGTTGTTCTGGCTCAACTGCTGGCTGTTCTGGCTCAACTGCTGGCTGCTCGGGTTCAACTGCTGGCTGCTCGGGTTCAACTGCTGGTTGTTCGGGTTCAACGGGGTTTGTCTGGGCTCAACGGCTGGCTGTCTGGCTCAACGGCTGGCTGTTCTGGCTCAACGGCTGGCTGTTCTGGCTCAACGGCTGGCTGTTCTGGCTCAACGGCTGGCTGTTCTGGCTCAACGGCTGGCTGTTTTGGCTCAA